TATTTGTAACTCATGAGAACTTTGTCAGTATTAGGGTAGTTGAAGGAAAAAAATTATATGTATGTATATATAGATAGATGGATAGGGCACAGGGTGAGTTGAAGATTAAGGGGTCATATCTGGAGAATAAAATTAAGGGATGAGAGAGGATGATACAGGGAGAAGAAAGGGAGAGGTAGAATGGGGTAAATTATCTCACAAAAAAAACAGAAAAGTCTCTCACAGTGGAGGGGAAACAGGGGAAGGTGAGAGGGAATGAGGGAATCTTATTCTCATAGGATTTGGCTTAAGGAGAGAATAACATACACATTCAATTGGGTATGGAAATCTGTCTTACCCTACAGGAAAATAGGGGGAGAAGGGGACAAGAGAGCAGGGGGATGATAGAGAGGAGGGCAGATTGGGAAAGAGGGTAATCAGAAGCAAATACTTCTGAGGAGGGACAGGGTCAAAAGAAAGAATAGAATACATGGGAGGGCAGGATAGGATTAAGGGAAATAGAGTTCGTTTTTCACAACATGTCTACTATGGAAGTGTTTTGCATAACTGCACATGTACAACCTATATTGAGTTGCTTGCCTTTTCAGTGAGGGTGGGTGGGGAGGGAGGAAGGGAGAAAATTTGGAACTCAAAGTTTTAAAAACACATGTTTTAAAAAGAATGTTTTCACACGCAACTGGGAAATAAGAAATACAGGAAATGGGGTACAGAAGTCTGTCCTGCTCTACAGGAAAATAGAAGGGGAAGAAGATAAGAGAAGGGAGGGGGGAGAGACAGAAGAGAAGGCAGACTAGGGGAAGGGGTATTCAGAATGCATGCCATCTTGGTGTGGGGGAGGGGTGAGAAATTTGGAACTCAAAAACTTGTGGAAGTGAATATTGAAAACTAAAAATAAATAAATTTATATTAAAAAAAAAAGAAATTGGGGCCTAGAGTCTTTTTCTCCTACCCCACCCCAAACTGTTCAGCTCTGATACAGTGCCCAAAAGAATCCCACTGTTTTCCCCATGAACAGAAAATCTGTTCACTATTTGCCTTATAATGAGGATAAATAAGCAGTAAAACTTGCTGGAACACCCACTTCTCTCAGAGTAGGGAGGGGCAGGCTACATTAATCATTCTTTTCTATTGACTGTTAAGTGATTTCTGTCTTTGTGTGTGTGTGTGTGTGTGTGTGTGTGTGTGTGTGTGTGAACAAACACTTATTAAGTACCTGTTATGTACCAGGCACTATGTTAAACCCTTTAAAACTAATTATCTCATTTTATTACTTTGATATTCAATTTGATAATATTATTGTTGTAGCTTCCTCTCATTTCTCCTCATAATCCCAACATTCTAATGTGGGATCCAAAAAAATCATATACCTAATTTATTTGTAGTCTCCCATGATATATGGCATTTGTTATGGAAACTGAGGCCCAGAAAAAGAACTGATAATGTGAACCTTTGAATTGACTCTGGTCCTAGAATTGGAGGAAGAGAGGAAATTTGCTTCCACTAGGGGAAATAAATGCACAGCACTTTTAATAATTCCAAGCTTCTCTCTAAAACAAAAAGAATGAACTTTTTAATACCAGTTTCATTCCCAGTAATTCTATATAGGTGCAAAATGTACAGTACTACAATCTGTGAGGAATCCAAGTGAGGTGTCACTTAAAGGGTAATAGGTAAAAGGTCTGTGAATAAGCACATATTAGATTTCTTCTACGCATAGAGTTCACAGATAAAGGAGCAAACAACACGCAAATATCTAAGTATACCCAAGATACATACAGTGTAAAGTAGAGACCATCTAAGTTTAAGGAAGATTGGCCAAGGCTCCTGCCAGAAGGTAGGACTTTACCTTGGCTTGAAGGAAGCTGGGGAAGCCAGGAGGCAGAGCTGAGGAGGGAGAGAGTTCTAGGAATGGGGGGCAGCCAGTGAAAATGTCTGAAGTGGGGAGACGGAATGTCACGTTCAAGGAACAACAAGGTGTCAGCGTCTTTGGATGAGAGAATATATGGATGAGGAGTCAGGTGTAAGAAGACTAGAAAGGGGGGCAGCTAGAATAGAGCACTGGCCCTGAAGTCAGGAGGACCTGAGTTCAAATCTGACTTCAGACTTACAAGCTGTCTGACCCTGGGCAAGCCACTTAACCCCATTGCCTAGCCAAAACAGAAAAAAAATGGAGAGAACATGGGGCCAGCTAGGTAGATAGAGCAGTGGATAGAGCACTGGCCCTGAAGTCAGGAGGACCTGAGTTCAAATTCGGACTCAGACCAAACACTTGTCACCTACTAGCTGTGTGACCCTGGGCAAGTCACTTAACCCCAATTGCCTTTAAAAAAAGAAGAAAAGAAAAGAAGACTAGAAAGGTAGAAAGGGGCCAGGTTATGAAGGGCTTTAAAAGTCAAATGGGGGGGGGGTTCTATTTGGTATTGGAGGTAATAGAGAGCCACTAAAGTTTATTGAATAGGGCATCAGATATGTTTTGGGAAGATCAATTTAACAGTTGAGTGGAGGGTAGAGCGAGGAGAGATGTGAGTCAAGTAGAGCAACTAACCAGCCAATGACATATTGTGCATAAGTAAAATAAAAGATATCATAAAGGAGATGCATGACCAGAAAAAGAGAGAGGCTTCATCTTATAGCAAGAATGAGGGATAACAGACAGACATTCCATCTGCTCCATTCCTACCCACATGCTTATGAGTGGTGGAACCAAGGCCTGGGGTCACATCAGGTCACAGGAAATTGGGGAATAGTTTTCACATGCTCTTCTACGGAAAAAAATGAGAAGCAATGTCAGGAGATGTAGGGGAAGACCCCTAGTGACTCTTTGTAGATGCTTTATGGGATAAAACTTTCTCAAGGTGAGATGGTACAGATGGGTTCCTATCTATACTGGAGGGGTGACTATCCATGACGCAGTTCAATTATAGTATTATTATTATGAATGAAATGTTGACATACTATTATCACTGAGGATTGACTTTGCCTCTTGACTCTTCCAATTAGTTGACTAGTGATTTTGGGGAATCTGTGTGACTGATTTCCCTCTCCATTTTAATGACAAAACACTGTCATAGGATGGCAGAGAATCAGGGGTATTCCCCAGAAATAGGGCAATATAGTAGAAAGAACACATAGATGAGGAGTCTAGACACAACCAAAGCTACCAATTAGCTTTATGACCTTGGACCTTCACTACTGGATGCTGACATGTGCTGCTGCTACAAGGAGAGACTGATGAAAAAAAGGGGATGGAGAAAAAAGAAATTATCTCTTGCATTGTTGCATTTTCTAAGAGGTACAGTTGAAAAATTGAAAAGCTAATTTGAGAGCAGGGTTCTTCCATAACTAATTCTCTTCTGGACTCTCCACAACTCAATTCCTGGCAAGACTGGCTACTTTTAAACTTTCAGTCCCTCCATTTAACCTAGGTCAGTGAAATGGGCAGAGAGAAAGATAGGGACAGTCCGTGAACAATGGCAAGTCCATTGTCTCTGCCAATCCTCAAGTAGTTTCCTATGTAAATAAAATACTCAAAGTCAGAAAGAGCCACATCCTTGCATCTTATTATCTTTGTTACCTATCTCTTACATCCTATAATTAAGGCTACTCAAAGTTTGGAAGCTGGGCAATTTCATAAAATAGAATGTGAAATTGAATTGATCAATAATCCCCTTATTAACATCTTCCCCACTCCTCAAATCCACCCCCACCCCCACCCCCATTAACACACATATAGGAATCTTCTCCTGATTTCTACACTCTCCTTCCAACTAAGCCCTATCTATTCTCAATAGCTCAGGACCAGGGTAGATGTGGAAGTGTCTATAGGAGGATATATGTGTAGGGCATGGAGGTAACAAATAATCCAGGAGAGGATGAACAGCCTCTAGGCTTTTTGGTTTCTAAATACATTTGAAGATCTTTGTAAGTCAATTCCTTTTGTAAAGAAACTTCTTGGTTTCTCCTAAGAATCACCTGCAATATTTATGATGGAAGTCAGTTGACTACCGTGGGGAATCGTCTTGGGATCATAGGATTATAGATTGAGAGTTGGAAGGGAATTTAGAGATTATCTAATTCAAATCTTTCATTTTACAGATGAAGAAATTGAGATTAGGTTACTTTCCGAAGTCACATTGATAGTAAGTTTTGAAGGAGGGATTCTTGATTTGAGTAAAAGGTTAGATTTATTGCTCTCTGAGCAGTGGTGAACAGGTAAAAGTTTAACTAATAGACTTTGGGAAAAAGTGCATGCATGATACTCTTTTCGGTTTAATCTGCATTATAAGCATTTTCTCCATCACTTTTTAAAGTTTAGACAAAAAACAAAACAACAGATCAAGCCCTGATTTGTAGTTTTGCCAATTTCTTATAATGAAAATTTAACATTTGGCTCTTGGGGGCATGTGTGAGCTTTAGGACTTGAATGAGAGAGAGAGAGAGAGATCAGAGCTATAAAAAGCAAAGGATATTCTGCCTGTTCAACAGATTGTAACTGTAGAATGTCCAGCAGATTGGCCATTTTGGTGTGCTCCAGCATACCCCTCTCTCCAAAGTTCACTCTAAGATTCTAAGGCTCTTTGATAAAATATACAAGCTCTCAGGGACCGTAGAGACTATTAAGTCCAACCTTTAACTTCACAAATGAGGAAAATAAGGTCTAGAAAAAGTTACAACTTGCCCAAGATCATGTAAGTAATTTGAGTCAAAGTCAGAACTAGGACCCAGTACCCCTAAGCTGCTACCAATCTTGTTTTATAGATTGAAGTGGAAGAGACAATAAAATGGTTAGTTATTCACCCTAGGGGCCTCCCCACCTCCAGCCCACCTGCTATGAACCTCCAGCTCAATTCATATATCTCCCCTCTTTTCTTGATCCCCCAAAAGACTTTAATGCATCCACAATGTTTAAATTAAGTACAAAGACATAGGGGCACTGTCTTGGAAACAATTCTGCAATAAACCATTTAGAACAATAAAGAAATAAATCCTAATCCACCAACCTTGACCAGACACCCGAAGGTTGTGCTTGCATAGGCTGACCTTGTGAAGATAAATTGCAACTCTAGGTTATTATTATTATTTTTTCCTTTGGGGCACTTTGAGTAAGCGTCAGTCACAGGAGAGTTCTGGGGACTGTAGTTGCAATGACATCAGCAGCAGGCAGCAACACTCTCTTTTATGGGACTCTCCTTCACTGCTCCCCTTTATTGAATTTTGAGAGTGTTCAGGCTTTTTGAGAAGTCTCTCTTAAATGAGTTCAATTTTTTTTCTTGATAGTTAAAAAAATCTTACTATCATCTTTATTTCCAGACATATCTTTTCTCTACAAGGTAAGGGAGCCATACCTTGCAACAAAGATTAAAAGAAAAAGAGAAAAAACCTTGACAGCAAAATCAGCCAATTACCACACTGACCTTGAATGACAGTATATGCTATTCTACACCCTTAGTTCTCCACTTCTGCCAACAGGAGAAGCCAGATGCATTTTCTGTTATTTTCAAGGCACAAACTTGGTCGTTATAATTATACAGCACAGTTTTTTTTGTTTGTCTTTGTCATTTCCATTTTTGTTGGTTTAGTCATTGTGTTTATTGTTTTGCAGGTTCTGCTTATGTGACTTTGAACTGGTCCGTATAAGTCTGGTGAATTCAATTTTAAAACAAACTGCTGTCATTTAGGAAAACTCCTAGTATGTTGTGTTTAGAAAATGAGAATGCCTGAAATGAGCACAATAATAGAACCACACTGTGAATGCCTTTCCTCTTCATTACCCAGAGAAACAAGAGGGGTTCAATATTCATCCATAAACATTTCTGAGTACCTACTGGATGTAAGTACTGTGGATATTAGAAGGATGAATAATGCAAGAATGCGATCCTTGCTCTAAGGAAGCTTAAAATTTAGTGGGGGTGGGAGTAGGGATGGGAATGGAGAGACAAGACAAGCCCTCAAATGATTCTATTGAAAGGTAGAATGAGATATGTCATAAAAGAGATGCAAAGAGTTAGGAGGATTCAGAGATGAGAAAGATTATACCTGATTGGGAGAATCAGAGATAGCTTCATGATAGAATTGATATTTCTTCTGGGCCTTGAAGAATAGGTAGGATTTTGGGAGGAGATGAGGAGGGCATTCCAAAGGGAGGAAATATCATGACCAAAGCAGGAAAGTATGGCAGCATGTTAGGAAAGAGTCTGATCTGGATGAAGCATAAGGTCTATGAAGGGCATCAGTGGGAGATTAGAATGGATACAGATTGTGGAAAGCCTTGAATGTCAGAACAAGGAGTTTGGATTGCATTTTGTACAACAATGAAGAGTCACTGAAGGTTTTTAAGCAAGAAGTGACATGATCAGAACTATGCTTTAGGGAAGAAGATGTATTTTTGGTCAGAGATGTATAGAATGGAATAGAGGAGAAACAGAGGCAATTGTAAACCAAGGACAGAGGTAACCAAGCTTTGAATTTAAGGTGATAGTGGTAGAGATGGAATGAATGGGATGGGTGAGAGAAACGCTTTGAGGGTAGAATTTGTGGAGACAAAGGGAGAGAAGATGTTGAACCTGAGGACCTGAGAAAAATGGTGCTGCCATGAACAGAAATAGGAAGTAATTGGTCAATGAGAATTTATGAAGCGAGAGTCACTTCACTAGGGAAATAAACAGAAGGAATGAAACAATCCTGGTCTTCAAATAGCTTACTGTAGAGTCAAGAGGGAGAGAGTTGGTTGGGGACAGCTGTTGAATTTGGTTTCAGACAAATTAATTCTGGATTGAAGTCAGAGACCTGAGTTTAAATCCCAGCTCTGCTACTTATAACCTTTATAGTGTTCTCAGGCAAGTTACTTGACTTCTCTGGGCCTCAATTTCCCTATCTGTAAAATAAGAGGTTCATGGGGCAGCTAGGTGGTGCAGTGGATAAAGAACGGCTCCTGAAGTCAGGAGGACCTGAGATCAAATCTGGCCTCAGACCAAAACACTTGATATGTACTAGCTGTGTGACCCTGGGCAAGTCACTTAACCCCAATTGCCTAGCAAAAATAAAAAATAAGAAAAAGAGGTTCATACTGTGTACTCTAAATGTATGATCCCGTGAATCTGATTTGCTAATAGGGTTTCCATGTGGCAGTGTTCAGCAAGGCAATGGAAATCCTTAGCATAGCTCCTTGCATGTAGTATAAGAAATGGGGAGAGGGAGGGGGGAAGAACAAAATAACAAAAGAAAGAAAAGGAAAAGAGCAAAAATTAGAAATGTGGGGCTTGAATTAGAGAGAGAGGGCACGCAGAATTATACAAAAGCACAGGACAGTCTGCCTGAATGACAGCTTCTAACCTTGGAATGTCCAGCAAACTAGTCACGTTGGTTCACCCCATGGAAATTCCAGATGGGACTTCTAGCAACTCGCCCACCGGGGCTGTTCCTCAGGGTCTTTAAGGTTTGCCAGACCCGCCTTCCCAAGCTGCAGTCTGATATGTCATGTTTCCTCCTTTCTCCACGTGCTCTTTCTCTCTCTCCATTGATCTGAAACCTTGAGACACACACTGCCTTCCTTGCTGGTCAGTAGATTTGCCTCCAAGAAAGATCAAGTTGTCTAACATTGGCTTGAAAGAATCTCTCTGACCCTGTGACCTAGACAATGGAAAAGCCTCAGAGAAGGGAAACTGAAAGATGTAGAAAGGGTGGGGTGTGGGGGGGAGGAGGAGAGTTTTCTGAAATGTAGAATGGAAAGAGGTGGGAAAGAGAAGGAAGAGCGGTTATGGATAAAGAATTCTTTTCAGGCAGATGGTAAAACTAGTGTCATGTGGAGGGCTTTAGTTGGCTGAAAAGGCTGTTGTTCCTGGGATTAGAAGAGGGTAGATTCATCAAAGCCCCAGTCTACTGGCTTCATTTGGTTCTGACCACAGTATACCCCTTCAGCTTTTGCTACAAACACTTCTTCACTTGCTTACCTGAAATGACAGGTCTAAAAATACATACCCCTCATTTAGAATACTCCATGTTCCACATTAATGCTTGTTAATGATCTAGCGAGAGGCAACAGGGGTGTGGCTGAGAGAGAAGAGGCCTCAGTTGAGAAGACCCAAATCCAAGTCCCTCTGACATCCTGGCTGTGTGACTATAGGCAAGACAGTTAATCTCTTGGTATTTTAGGTAACTCACTAATACTATAAGATGTGGAAAAGGTGCCGATCTGCTTTGGTAGGGAGAGTTTCCTCACCTGGGATTCCTCTGAACTAACAAAATCTCATGTCTCATCCATATCCCTGATGACTTGGTACAGACAGTAAGCCAACAGTACTGTCAGAGCCTATAGGGACCCAGAGAAGGACAGCAAGGTGGTGATTTGACCAGGGCCTCAGTTAGTTGGTCAATTAGCATTTATTAAGTACCATATTTCATTGCATAATCATCACAGATTTTATGCCAAATTGTTTTGCAAAAAAGTGGGGTGTGACCATTATGTGAAGCCATTGTAACGATATTACTTAAAAATCATTTACTACTAAACTGTCTTTGGTGCAAGACTAGGGTGCACAAAGTACTCACGAATATATGTTAAAATTGGGAAGATGCAAGTCTTACCATATCGTGTGACTTGTTCATGGCAGCTTCTCCTGACCACCAGCTCCCCTTGTGCTTCCTGCTCTGCACTGGGTTGAGTGATAATACCGTTAGTACCGCAGCGCTCTAAACAAACCACACAAGTCAGCTTTTGGAAATAAACTGACAACGAATACGCGCTGAGAATTCTAGGCTCTCGGCTTGCAATGTGTGAGAGATAAATGTATATCCATATGCCACTGGTGAATAGATTGCTACTCTGTTTACCTTTTAAATTGCATGACAAACAGAATCATACCATGCGATGATTGCATGATGAAAGGTTATAAACCAATTTTAGACTGAAAAACTTTTAGACTGATGATTATGCATTGGCGACCTTACGTGGTGAACTATGGCATCTACTCTGTGCCAGGCATTGTACTAAGCAATGGGGATACAAAGAAAGACAAAAGATAGCCCCTAATCTCGAGGAGCTAGGACTCACCAGTGTTAAATTGTTTGTCTGCCCAAGGTATGCTTTGATCTCTCTGCTGACTTCCAAAGTCAATACCTACCTCCTGCTGGGGGAAAAAGGGTTGGAGTAAAGATAGGCATATGAAAGATGATAAAAATAATAATAATAATAATAACAACAATAATAATAGTTACTAAAACAAGTTCTTCTAACCACTTACAATAGGTATTTGTTGTTGTTCAGTCATTTTTTCAGTCAAGTCTGACTCTTTGTGACCCCATTTAGGGTTTTCTTGGTAGAGATACCAGAATGCTTTGCCATTTCCTTCCTTTGCTCATTCTACAGATGAGGAAACTGAAGCAAGCAGGGGTGAGTGACTTGCCCAAGGTCACACAGTGTCTGAGGCCAGATTTGAGGAAGATGAGTCTTTCCGACTCCAGGATTGGCATTCTATCCACTGTACCACCTACCTGTCCCATAATAGGGTACAACAATAGTAATAATAATAACAACAATAATTTGCATATCATTTTGAACAAAATGTTTTACATGTGTTTCTTCATTTGATCCTTACAGCAAGCCTATGAAGTAGTGCTATTATTATCCACATTTTACAGATAAGGAAAACAAGATGGAGAGAAGTGACTTGTCCAGGGTCACACAGGTAGCAATACACAGTGGTTGGATTTGAACCCTGTCAGCCAATAAAAGCACCTACTGTGTGCCAAGTTCTATGCTAAGTGCTGAGGATTCAAAAAGCAGCAAAAGACAATCCTTAAGGAGCTCGTTATCAAAGAGTAAGGAAAGCAATGAAGAGCCTTTTAATATTTCCTGCTCCAGGGAAAATTTTCTCTTACAACCAAAAGGCATTATTAAGGTTTTGTCCCAAAAGATGGCACTCATTTCAAGCAGCAATGGAAAACAAGGAAGAAATACCCAAAGAGGAGTGTGGTGGGAAATAGCAGAAAGGAGGCTGTAATGGATTCAAGAGTACTTGGGTCCAAATCTTGGCTCTGCTACTTCTTGTCTATGCGACTTCAATCAAGTCACTCCGCCTCGCATTCCCCATCTGTAAAATGGGAAGATTAGATTAGATGGCTTCTA